AAAAAAAAAAAAAAAAAATACAGAACAATGCAGTTACTACATGATAATATCTTTTTATTTTTCTTCTATTGGTAACTACAGGTTGAGACAATAGGTTAACTAAATAGCCAACCAATTCAAAGATTATTAGGCATTGGTGATGCACACCAAAAACCGAGACAGTTTAGGCGAATTGAGAATTAAAACCTTGATACGAACTTAAGTGGAAATGAACAATTTATAGAAAATAGAGGAAGCCTCAGTTAAAGAACTCCCAAGTAGTTCAGAGTCGCTCCTTGTTGTCCAAAGTTTAGAGTTGCTCGTTAATTATCAAAATATTTGTCGATGGGTTTGACTTCTTAAATAACTTTGTTTCTTTTTTTTTTCAATTTCTTTTGAACATTTTAACATTAGTAAATGACAGAAGGTATCATAGTATGGCTTTCTCCTCAACAATTTACATACCCCATATCTGGTTGGTGACAACTGAACTTTAAAACGAGAAGATCTGCTATGGAGCCAGGTATATTATTCATTCTATTAGGTTGTAAAGCGCAGTTCCTGATGGGCTTCAAATTAACCCGGGCAGGGATCGATATCCTGAGTATCAAGCAACAGTAGGACAGCTAAAATATCAGCAATTTCACATGGAATCAGAAAAGGCCGAAATGCATACAAAATATGCTATTTTCAGCATGCTGCAAAGGCTTAGTGCATTAGTTCTACTGACAACAGCCAAACATAGAAGCTTCTGCAAACTGAATCTCCAAAGAGCAAAACGGCTGTTTTGCAGCCAAAAAAAGAAAAAAAGCCAAGAGAGAGAGAAATGCCTCATTTAACATTTTTTATCTTTATTAAAGTAAGGTTCCTCTTCTTCATATTTAGCATCAAGAAAGTGCCGGTTAAATATAAAGAAAGTACAAAAGTATTTCCCTATTAGCTGTGTATGTAGGGAACTAACAAATATAGCAAAATGTCCAAATCATTTATAAAGATCTCCTACACCCTTCAAAACATAGATTGATCCCTGATCTCCTACACCCTTCAAAACATAGATTGATCCCTGATCTCCTACACCCTTTAAAACATAGATTGATCCCTCTCTCTAGATTCTCCTTCTCTACCAATTGCAAAAAGATTGCTCTATGGTCTTAGGCATCACTGATTTGACTTCACAGACGTTCAAAAATATACTCCACAATTCTATTGCTGAAGGGCAATGAAAAAAGAAATGGTCTACATTTTCCAACTTCTTTCATACATAAAGCATCCGCTACAGATGTGAACCCCATTCTCATCAAATTATCTAGTGTAAGCAGGGGCGGATTTATAGGTTTAATTATGGGGCACGTGAATCCATAGTCTCTCTGTAAAATTAAATATTTTATCTATATATTTTCTAAAATTGGTTTAATATTAACTCTTGGCACCCATACTTCAAGAAGGTTGAATGGTGCACTTGGTTGAAGGTTGAGTTATTTACCAAGATGTATAGGGATCAATTCCCACTAGATACATTTTTTTTCTCCTTTTTTTAATAGTGCACCCATGTAGTAGAAATCCTTCATCCGCCTCTGAGTGTAAGGCAGGCTTCATGTACCACAATCCGCACTAAACATGCAACTCTAGGAAGTAAATCATTTGCTATTGTCAATCCTTACTGTTGCGACTTGAAAGTCCGTTGCAACTTGGTACTGTTGTCTAACCTGATTTAACTGTATCACAACATCAGCTATTCTAAAGGAATCTGCCACTTCCGTTGGCAATTAACTTGTCGAGTTACACTCCTTTAGCCCAGTTACTCCGTTATATCAATCACCTCACTTATCAAACTTTGATTGGAAGGGTTATACTAATTTGGGCTAATATTGACATAACCCAAGATATTTAAAGTTTACCAAGTCATCGTCTTTTCTCGATCGAGGGTTCGAGTTGGATGAGTGTTTATGCTCCATATCAGCAAATTTAGTGTTGTAATTGTAAAATGGTGAAATCACAGGGCTTATTGTAACAGAAAGCAGTCATTTACTGCACATCCGTTAGGAATTAGTTCTCAATTTCAGTTGACTAATCACTCTTACCAACTTCATATCCCCAATGATCTAAGAATTCCAACTTGCAAAAAAAAAAGTTACTAAAACATGTAACTGTACAACTATAAGGATGCAAAATAACAAGAAATGGTTATGTTGTGATTTGAAAGGAATTAAGTTCAAAATTCAAATGGGGTCCTTTTTTTCTTTCTTGATGAAACCCACATAAAAACTGTAAAGGATAATTGGAGAATCCTAAAAGAAATTTGAAGTAATTTCATACCAGTAGAAGAAAGGGTAGCTTCAGAAACTGAAATACCACGGCATGATTTCACTGGGTATATGAATATTGATTTCACTTGTGCACCTCCTACTTCTGCCATATCAACAAAGAAAAGAGCTTCTCTCTCTTTCTTCACTCTTTACTTAATAAATGAATTTTTTCCCTTAGCAACTGAACAACGTGTTCATGAAAAGGTTGGTTGACTTATCCTACACTATTGTGGGCCAGACCATTTTCAGCTGATTCGGCTCCTTATCAGCTCCTTTGGCTTCATTCCCTTTGTCTCACCTCAGATTTTTTTAATGATAAATTTTGTAAAACCACAATTGTTTAGTGGTTATTAATTTTCTATAGTTATCATATACATAATTACTTTTATAGTTATCTTTCAGTTGTTATGGTAATGTATTCAATTTATTCGCGCTACTTTCATGAATACGGTAGCAAAAATCGGCTAAAAAACAGGGCAGCCGAGTTGTTAGCCGTTGTATTCACATGTATTCATGAATACAATAACGATAATCAACGTAATAATAGGTATATCCAGTTGTTTAATAATGGAAAGCTGCTAATTTAACGTGATACACTCTTAATATAACTCAACTAAATCAATTATAACGCGCAGCATTATCAATCCAATTAATGAGAAGATTTATCAGACGCTAAACACCAAAAAATATAGCATTCTTCAGAGTTTCTATCATGCCCCAAACTCGGGGAGCGCGACCGGCGCTCAACCGAGTGAACCCGTCAAGCAAGCCTATTGAATACTTTCTACCCAACTCACCTATGATTTTAAGAGTATACATAACTTTGTTAATTAACCAATAAGGAGATCATGTTGACAATACTAAATTCATTACGATTAATTACTTCATTTAATAAGTCTCAAAACACACACACACACCTTCATGGTTCAGAAGTGGAGCAAGTGATTCAATCACAACACAACTTGTTTAACATTTTCAACACCTATATACAACCCACACCAAGTCTACAGAGCCTTTAAAGATACCAAAGAGTACAATGATAGTGCCAACAACAAGGCTCCGGCTATACCTAAAAATACGATAACACATACGAAACAAAAGATGCACAACCCCGGAATGAGATGGGGCTCACCAAGTCAGTTGGGAAGAATGAGCACCACTATCACTGGTCAATATCCTCCTATGTGGAACCACCTGCATCCATTAAAGATGCAGCGCCTCCGGCAAAAGGGACGTTAGTACATGTCTAATAGTATTAGTATGAAAACCAAACACCAATTTAAGAACTCGGAAGTACAATATGAATATGATAAATCGGGTCGACAATAGAAATAGCATAGTTAGCCGTTTAAGCCAAAGCAAGCTTATCAAGAACTGTCAATAACATTTATAGAATTTAAGATGAGATCCTCTATAACGATCTTTACACAAAGCGGCCCCGACTCCTCACCCCAGTGTATGGAGGTGGAGGTGTAAGCACAATACCACAACTCTACTCAAGCGGCCCTGCCGCCTCACCCCAGTGTATGTGGGTGGAGGTATAACCACACTACCAAAAACCTACACAAAGCGGCCATGCCGCCTCACCCTAATATATGCGGGTGGAAATCCATCAACGATACCAATACCTACACAAAGCAGTCATGCCGCCTCACCCCAATGTATGCGGGTGGAGGTGTAATCTTAATCACAATCTCTACACAATTTGGCATAATAACTTTCACATAAATCACGACTTGGAATTATAACATGTAGATACGCAATCCATAGTTTGGAACACATCCTCAATTTATAATACAACATGATAAGAGCATTTGAAACACGAATTGACATATATCTTTGTCACAAAACTTATTCGGAATACTCGATTTATAATAAACATCTTGGAACTTACAAGGGTAATATGGGGTTCAATTCTTAAAGAAGGGTTTAGCCAACATACTTCACTTGAGATTCCTTACACTCTAAAATATTCCAGAAATCTTAGCAACTTCAATCTATTTTAGAAATATAATAAATTGAACCAAAATTAGGAAGATGCTCATGGTTCTAGCTCAGTTGAGCATTTTATCAAACACTAGGTGTGCATTAAGGTTCCTAGGACCTTTTATGGAGGATTCCATCATCCCAAACCCATTATCTACCATTTTTAGCTCAACAATCTCCTTACACCCCTTTGAAAGCACATGCATGCAAGATGGACAACTCCCATGCCCAAATATTATCTTACTAATTACCCATTTCTAGTTAAATTTCGAAATTGAAGAATTGGGGAAAGAAATTCTTACCTCTTTGAAGCCCTAGTAACTCTTTGATAAAATTTCAAGGTTTGATTCAAGGCAGAGTAGTGAAAACCTTAGTCCTCCCTTTCCTCTCTCTAGAGTCGCTCTCCCCTCTCTCTAAAATACCAGAAAATCCCCCCAAAATGAACCCTTAGTCTAGATAAATGAAATGGGGGTCGAGGTTATAAAAACCCAAAATTAGCACAGACGCGCCGCAGGGCGTGATGCGACAGTGAAAAATGTGCCCAAAAATGTTTTTTCGAAGTGTTCTGGAAATCGCCACAAGCGCGCCGCATGGGGCGGCGCGGTAGTGTCTACCCAGCGTGAATAATATTTCCTTTACTCCTCAGCACACCGTGCAATCCAAAAAGTCCATACCGCAGCGAGATATTTACAATCATGAACACGTAAGTCTACCCCGACACCACGAAGTCCCGAGTTTTTAGGTAAAATTTATGGGGCCTTACAATTTCAGTCCCTCTTTTTTTTCTAACACAGTTCGAGGTTTTTGTTCCTGATATTGTTCAAGGTTCTGCTCGGAATTGATACAAGTATCTACAAAAATATTTTGAAGTTCGAATTTCTAGATGGCAAGTTTAACAGTGCTAATTCGTCATTCTGGAAAGTGGAACATTGAAAATTGTTATGTCGATTATTCGATTGATGGGATATTGATAATGGAGTATGCGTCGTACAATGATTTGGTTGCTTCAATTTCGAAGCAACTTGGCATAGATTTGAGCTCCAAGTCAATTAAAATTGAATACAAAGTGGAAGGAAATTGCACTCCTATGGAAATACACAACGACATGGGTTACAAGGTGTATGTAGAGTTAAAAAAGGAGAACAAAGAATTAGGGATGTATCAATTGTGTATAACTACATTGGATCAAGAAATTGTAGATGGAGGAAGTTTATTTCAAAGAGACCTAATGCAACTTGACACAACCGATGGGGTGAATAAATTTGATACATTTGATACACTTGCACTTATGTCTTTAAACTCAGGTGAACCAATTGAGGTTTTCGAACCGGAAAGAGATTTGATTATTTCTAAACAAAAAGAGGTGATGGCTGGACAAGTATTAAAGGATAAGGCCACATTGAAGGCGGTGATGGAGCAATATGCAATTGCTGAAAGGTTTTAATTCCGTGTTGATAGGTCAAATGCTATCAGGTTTGAGTGTTATTACTTACAACCTCTTCACCAATATGTTGTATTCAACTGTATGTATATGTATTCGTAATAGTTTTATGGTGTATTCATGGCATCATATTATTATACAACATATATTATGTTGTATTCATAATATAACATAATATGAATAGTATCAGTGTTTTTAATTGAATGTGCTGAAACAGTTATAGGTTCGTGAACTATTTATATTATTGTGTTTATAATACATTGTTGTATACAAATGTATTCAACATTTTTTTATGGTGTATTCATGTAACATACATTGTATTTCATTGTATGTTTCTTTCAAAACTTTGTTGAAAATGAAATTGTTATGTGTCTGTGGTTAGAAGACACTTAGCCGAATCAGTGTGATGACCCAATATGTCATTTTTAAATTTAATATTTACTTATGTGTTCTAAGACCTCAAATAGCACCTTTCAGCATTCTTCGACTTGCGGGCGCAATCCATAAATTTTTTCGGAAAGTTTTTATGTGAAAAAATTGATTAAAATGTAAAATGGAGCTTCAAAACTCTTTTGAGTTGACTTCGGTCAACGTTTTAAGGAAACAGACCGGGATCGGTATTTTGACTTGGGCGTATGCCCGAAATCGAATTCGGAGGCCCTAGCTTGAATTATCGCCATTTAACGAAAACTGGAAACTTAAAGGCTAAAGATTTCCAAAGATTGACCGCGGATTCAACTTTTTGATATCGGGGTCGGAATTCGATTCTAGAAATTTGAATAGGTCTGTTATGTCATATATGACTTGTGTGCAAAATTTGAGGTCAATCGAACTTGATTTGATAGGTTTTGGCATCGAATGTAGAAGTTGTAAATTCTTAAGTTCCTTAAGCTTGAATTGGGGTATAATTTGTGATTTTAGCGTTATTTTATGTGATTTGAGGTTTCAACTAAGTTCATATGATGTTTTAGGACTTGTTGGTGTATTTGGTTGAGGTCCTGGGGCCTCGGGTGAGTTTCGGATGGATAACAGATCGAAATTTGAACTTAAACAGCTGCTGGAAATTTTGGCCTTCTGGTGCAATCGCACCTGCGAAATTTAGCTCACAGGTGCGAGCTCGTAGAAGCGAGCCTTGCATCACAGAAGCGTGAGGTCTACAGAAGCAGACGATGCCTCGCAGAAGCGGCACACGCATCGCAGAAGCGGAAAAGGGGAAGGTGCAGCCTCGTCGCAGAAGCGAGCCAGGCCGCAGAAGCAACCACAATTTCCGAAAAAGCGGAACCGCAAATGCGGTTAAGTGTTCGCAAGTGCGAAAGCACTGGACATATTACAAAACAGAGTGGTTCCGAGATTTTTCTCATTTTTGAACATTTCAAGTATGGGTTGGGGCGACTTTTGAGCAAGAATTCACGGAAAAACTTGAGGTAGGTCACTTGTGATCATTGTTAGTCAATAATATTGAATTATCATTGATTATTCCGACTAGATTACGTGTTTTTGAGGTAAAATTTGAGGATTTGGGCCTAGAGATTTGAAAATAAGATTTGGGGATTTGAAGGTCGAGTTGATGTCGGAATTTGATAAAATTTCTATGGTTGGACTCGTGGTTGAATGGGCGTTCATAATTTGTAACGTTTTTCCAGATTCATAGACATGGGCCCCGCTGTCAATTTTTGAATTGAATTTCAGATTTTGATTGGAAAATTTAGTATTTTCATATAGAATTAGTTTCTATAATTTTGAGTATATTAAATTG